CTTTAAATTAATTTAAACTACTTTAAACTTTAAACTAAGTTAAACTATAAACTACTTTAAACTAATTTAAACTTTAAACTAATGTAAACTTCAAACTACTTTATACTTCTTCAAACTTTGCGGTCCAAACTTTCACAAGCCAACTTAAAGTTTGTCTCGACGAACTTTTTCTAGTTTTTATTATTATTATTCTGGACAAAGTTTGACGCGCTACTCCTCCCGCAGTTTTTGTCACAGACCCATGAATGAGGTGTCAAAACGTGCGGCCTGTTCGGGAATGGTGTGCTATGACTTTTCTAAGGGATCGGGGGTACGATGTTCGCCCCAGGGGCGAAAAACCGGCCGAAAAATCCCATAGACTTAACATTGCGTCAAACTTTGACGAGTCGTAGCTCGGAACGAGGATGTCGCAGAAACGTGAAATTTACCACATTTAAAGAGGCTGACAGGCTCTGTAAGAATATACCACACAATGGGGTAAAAGTTGCACCCCTGGGGGGCAGGAGCTGCCCAAAGTTGCCCCATTGACTTACTATGGTGTAGGACGGCCCATGAAATGGGCCGTCCTACACCATAGAAACCGCTTTTATATTGAACATAACTCTGGATCACAGTGTCGTAGAGACAAAGGGGCGGGCTCATTTTACTCAGACGGCCAATCAGTCTCTCAGGATCATTGTGAAGCTATCTAGCCACGCCCTAGCAACCATTTAGAGCTCCTTAGCAACAAGTTCCATAGACTTCCATTGAAACAGATCAAAGGGATATCTCAGAATATAAGAGTCATAGAAACATGAGGGTGGGCTCGTTTGACTCGGGGCAGCAAACAGCCAATCCTGAATCACCTCAACACTTACTGGCCACGCCCTAGCAACCATTGTCGAGCACCTTAGCAACCAAAATCCAAAGAGGAATATCGTCCATTCTGAATGTCACAGAGGCACGGGAGTTGGTTTATATCATTCATACTGACAAGCAGCCTTTGGAGTTTCATGATTGGCAGCTGCCAAGCCACTCCCTAGCAACCAAACAAGGTACCCTAGCAACCATTTTGCAAGACCTATATCTCTGCATCAAAACATCGTATAGAGATGGGGGTTGGTTTATACATTCACATTGACTTTGGAGCTTCATGATTGGCAGCTGCCAAGCCACTCCCTAGCAACCAAACAGAGTACCCTAGCAACCGTTTTGCAAGACCAATATCTCTGCATCAGAACATCGTATAGAGATGGGGGGTGGTTTATATCATTCATACTGACAAGCAGCCTTTGGAGTTTCATCATTGGTAGCTGCCAAGCCACTCCCTAGCAACCAAACAGAGTACCCTAGCAACCATTTTGCAAGACCTACATCTCTGCATCAGAACATCGTATAGAGATGGGGGGTGGTTTATATCATTCATACTGACAAGCAGCCTTAGGAGTTTCATCATTGGCAGCTGCCAAGCCACTCCCTAGCAACCAAACAGAGTACCCTAGCAACCAATTTGCAAGACCTACATCTCTGCATCAGAACATCGTATAGAGATGGGGGTTGGCTCTTTTGACTCATGCTAGCAAACAGGACTTGCTACATGCTAAACATGCTAGCTGTGAATAGCTACATGCTAATATTGATTAGCTAAGTGCTAAATCATGCCATGAACATTATAAAAACTCTATAGTAACCAAATGTGAACACTACCAACCACCTAGTAACACCATAGCAACCATCCAGAATACCATAGCAACCACCTAAAACACCCTAGCAACCACCCAAAACACCCTAGCAACCGCCTAGCAACACCATAGCAACCACCCAGAATACCCTAGCAACCGCCTAGCAACCACCCAGAACACCCTAGCAACCGCCTAGCAACACCCTAGCAACCACTCAGAACACCATAGCAACCACCTAGCAACACCCTAGCAACCAACCAGAACACCCTAGCAACCCCCTAGCAACACCCTAGCAACCACCCAGAACACCCTAGCAACCGCCTAGCAACCACCCAAAACACCTTAGCAACCACCCAGAATACCCTAGCAACCGCATAGCAACACCATAGCAACCACCCAGAACACCCTAGCAACCGCCTAGCAACGCCCTAGCAACCACCCAGAACACCCTAGCAACCGCCTAGCAACCACCCAAAACACCTTAGCAACCACCCAGAATACCCTAGCAACCGCATAGCAACACCATAGCAACCACCCAGAACACCCTAGCAACCACCTAGCAACACCCTAGCAACCACTCAGAACACCCTAGCAACCGCCTAGCAACACCCTAGCAACCACCCAGAACACCCTAGCAACCACCTAGCAACACCCTAGCAACCACTCAGAACACCCTAGCAACCACCCAGAACACCCTAGCAACCGCCTAGCAACCACCCAGAACACCCTAGCAACCGCCTAGCAACCACCCAAAACACCCTAGCAACCACCCAGAATACCCTAGCAACCGCCTAGCAACACCATAGCAACCACCCAGAACACCCTAGCAACCGCCTAGCAACGCCCTAGCAACCACCCAAAATACCCTAGCAACCACCTAGTAACACCTTAGCAACCATGCTAGCAAAATGCTAAACATGCTAGCATGATGCTAGCAATATGCTAATCATACTAGCATCTAGCTAAAACATGTTTGCAACATGCTTATTTTTGCTAGCAACATGCTAGCATGTTGGTAGCATGATGCTAACAACATGCTAATCATGCTAGCATGATGCTAGCATGATGCTAACAACATGCTAATCATGCTAGCATAATGCTAGCATGATGCTAACAACATGCTAATCATGCTAGCATGATGCTAGGAACATGCTTATCATGCTAGCAACATGCTAATCATGTTAGCATCATGCTAGCAACATGCTAGCAAAATGGTAATCATGCTAGCATCATGCTAACAACATGCTAATAATGCTAAAAGAATGCTAACAACATGCTAATCATGCTAGCATGATGTTAGCAACATGCTAATCATGCTAGCATCTTGGTAAAAACTAGCTAACCGCACGCTAGCAACCGAGCGGCGAGTTTTGCCACTGCAAGCACCACTTCACATTTTCTTCTGGAAATGTACATTCTAGTTATTCTTATTTTTCTTCCGGACAAAATTTCGGCGCGCTACTCCTCCCGCAGCTTTTGTCACAGACCCATGAAAGTGGTGTCAAAACGTGCGGCTTGTTCGGGAATGGTGTGCTATGACTTTTCTAAGAGATCGGGTGTACGATGTTCGCACAGCGGACGAAAAAGCGGCCAAAAAAGTCCCATTGACTTAACATTGCGGAATTTTCAGAAATTTAAATCTCAACTGTCACTTTCACACACACCCACAGAAAAGGGCCTGACAGCCCTGCTGTCAGGCCCTCTCTCTCTCCCTCAGAGGATTTATTTTATCAAGCAGCCAATAAGTAATGGCCTAAAATCTTCATAGCCACACCCTAGCAACCAGTTACAGCACCCTAGCAACCGTAGGCCATAGGCACGAGGCCGCAGGCCGAGTGCCATACTAAATAACTCAATAAAAACTCTATAAAAACTCCATATAAAACTCCATAGTAATTATCTGTAAATAAATACATGCCGACATCACAGACCCCTGAGTGAGGCGTCAAATTGTGCGGATTGTTGAGGAGAGGTGTGCTGTGACTTTTCTTACCGATCGGGGGTACGGTGTTTGCCCCAGGGGCAAATAATTGGCCGAAAAAAGTCCCATAGACTTAACATTGGCACAAAATTTGTGAGATCATATCTTTTGACCAGAAGGTCATGGAGACTTGGGGTTGGGCTCTTTTTACTCGGCCTATCAAGAAGCCAATACGTAGTGACATAATAACTTCATGGCTATGCCCTAGCAACCACTTATGCCACCCTAGCAACCATAAAACTTTATTTCCAAACCATATTTCAGCTCCAGAAAATAGAAGAAACATGGAGTTTGCCTTTTTTGACTCAGACTGTCAACTGGTCTTTAAATATCATCTCATAAACTGTATAAGCACACCATAGCAACCATATAGAGTACCCTAGTAACCATACAAACACATGAATAAGCCATATCTCAGCACCAGAACATCGTACAGACGTGTTTGTTGTCTCGTATGCAATCATGTACCACACTCTAGCAACCGAGCGGCGAGTTTTGCCACTGCAAGCACCACTTCACATTTTCTTCTGGAAATGTACATTCTAGTATTGTGATTACTATTCACCAAGACAAAACTTCGGCACGCTACTCCTCCCGCATTTTTTGTCGTAGACCCATGAATGAGGTGTCAAATCGACCGGCTCATTGAGGAGAGGTGTGCTATGACTTTTCTAAGTGATCGGTTGTACGATGTTCGTTCAGCAGCCGATAAATCGGACGAAAAAATTCCCATAGACTTAACATTGGCACAACATTTGTGAGATCATATCTTTTGACTAGAAGGTCACAGAGACTTGGGGTTGGGCTCTTTTGACTCGGCCTATCAAGCAGCCAATAAGTAGGGGCATAACAACTTCATGGCCAAGCCCTAGCAACCACTTATGCCACCCTAGCAACCATAAAACAACATTTACAAGCTATATTTCAGCTCCAGAAAATCGTAGAGACGTGGAATTCGGCTCTTTTGACTCAGACTGTCAACTAGTCTTCTAATATCATCTAATAAACTGTATAAGCACACCATAGCAACCATATAAGGTACCCTAGTAACCATACAAACACATAAATAAGCCATATCTCAGCTCCACAATATCGTACAGACATGGTTGTTGGCTCGTATGCAATAATGTACCACACCCTAGCAACCGGGCGGCGAGTTTTGCCACTGCAAGCACCACTTCACATTTTCTTCTGGAAATGTACATTCTAGTTATTATTATCAATGTTGAAAACTGCTGTGCTGGTTAATATTTTTGTGGAAACCATGAAACATTTTTTTCAGGAACATCTGATGAATTGAACGTTAATTGCATCCATATTTCTTTCACTTTTAAATGGTAATTTAAGTATATGCCCACCTGAGAATGAGTACACAGACAGCGACCAGAGTGTATGCCAGCAGGGTCCCAATTGACATCAAGTCCACCAAGGCAGCGAGATCAAACAGGAAAGCCATCAGGGCTACAGCGAGGAAATAAAGGAGATTATAGGAGTTAGTCCCAATTACTAAAAGAGTTATCTATTGAAAGGCATTATATGAATAAGAATGCAGTTTTACCTGCTACAATGCCAGACACAATGGTTGCCAGCACGGGTGTCTTGGTTTTCTTGTGCATGCGGGAGAGGGAGCGAAAGAGCAGACCGTCCTCAGCCATGGCATAAATCACACGAGGCATAGGGAACATGGAGCCCAACAAGCTAAAGAACATCCCCCCCAAACACAAAAACACAGTCAGAAAGGCATTAGTTGTTTCATGGTGACTTTATGTCAATGTCAGTAATGTAATTACAGCTTCATAAATGTACCTGGTGGAAAGGGCACACAGAGACCCCACAGCCACAATATAGCGAGCAGGCTGCCAGTGCACATAATCAAAGGCCTCAGGAAGTGGACTCAGAACGTCCAGCTTGTAATAGGGTATCATGAGTGTGAGTGCAGCAGACACTCCGAAGTAGGCAAAAAAGCAGATGAGCAGAGAGGCCACTATGCCGATCGGGATGGAACGCATGGGGTTTTTGGCCTCTTCACCTACGACAACATCAACAAAGCTGGGGTGAGTTTGGTTTTAAAAGTAGGACATTCTGGTTTTACACGGAAAGTTTGCTGAACTTACTTGTGGTTGCAATGCAGTCAAAGCCCACAAATGCATAGAAGCATGTAGCCGCGCCAGAAAGGATTCCGGTAAAGCCAAATGGTGCAAAGCCACCTGAGCCGAATTCTTTTTCAATGTTGCTAAGACATGAAAGAGATTTCAACTTTAAATTTACAGACAACATACTGCATATACATGTTTATATTCTTTATTTATACACAGTATATTCAATGTTTTTTGTTTACTACCCTTTCATTATCTTTAATTTAATTGTCATTTTTATTTGATTTATTAATTTGATCTTTCTTGTAATTTAGTTGTGTATCTGTATTCAGTTAATATGATCAAACTGATCAAGTATGAATTATGCTCAAAACTATACTTGCCAGATTACTACTGCTATGCCAACATTGAGGAAGTGTGACTTACTGTGCTTCAGATTTGTTGGTGCCATTAAGGTAGTCCTCAACAGTGAGGTTCCAGTTGGCAGTGTCGCCTTTCACAAAGCCCGATATGATGACAAATGTCAGAACCACCAGGTTGATTCCTGTGAAGATCTTGTTGACAAATGCAGACTCACTCACTCCAAATGCCAATAATCCTGTAGTGTGGGAGGTGAGAGGCAGCAAATTCACACCATTATGGTCTTTTGAATGGCAATGGTGAAAAGAAAGAGTGAGCAACAGTCCTATGACTAACATATATTGGTGAAGCGGATCATTTAAAATGATTTAATTCCTTCAGTGTAGCTTGTGTAGTAGTAGAACCAATGAAGAATCTTTTTTGGCTTCACTGTCAGAAACACACTAACAAAAACCAGGTGTTGGATAAGAAGTGAGGTCAAGAAGTTTAATTCTGGAACAAAGATCCACTGGCAGGCTTAATGGAATAATTGAAGTCTTGACTTTGAACAACACTTTGATTCAAGCTAAGAATTAACTAGGCACCATCATGTTGGACAGAAAAAGTAGTCAGAAAAAAGTTTCTTACCAGTGAGCAACAAGACCAGGATGAGGGCAAACAGATCTGGATACTCCGCTAACACATTTCCAGTGTCTGGAAATGACATGGAGCCATTGAAGAAAACAGAGATCCTTTTCTGCACTAGATGGTCAAAAGTTGAGCTCCAAGCTCGTGCCACACTAGCTGTGCCTGTGAAAAAGAGAGAAGGGACATATGTAGATGCAAAAGACTTCAGAACGTCTACTTGTTATGTTAAACTTAAGCACCTGCTCTAGAGTCCTTCACTCAAGTGTAGTAAACACTTCATACAATTTCAAAACCACTTTAGCTCATGCGTAATCGCATATAATTGGTCAAACTCTTGGGCTTGCATTCAGAATAAACTCTTGAGAGATGACAAATAATTGTTATATTTGAATTCAAAAAGGGAAATAGTCATTTTAGTCACATATTTTAAAACTAGATAATATCTACGTGCTCACCAATCACATACGACAGAATGAGGTTCCATCCTGTGATGAAGGCCCATATTTCACCAACTGTCACGTAGCTGTACAGGTAAGCGGATCCCGTCTTGGGAACACGTGCACCAAATTCAGCATAGCACAAGCCAGCGAGGACAGAGGACAAGGCCGCAACAAGGAAAGACAGCACGATTGCCGGTCCAGCCTTCTCTCGGGCTACTTGCCCAGCCAGGACGTATACACCTGCACCCAGTGTCGCCCCCACACCAAGGGCTATGAGGTCCAGAGTAGTGAGACAGCGAGCAAAGCGGGTTTCGTTCTGAGAGGTGTCCAGCATGCGACGCCTTAGCAGCATCTTCCCAAAGGAGGCCAATTTTTTCTCAATCATGATGGATAACGTTGAGAAGACTGGGATAATAAAGCTGAAGGCACTAAAGGAGAAGAGAAACAATATAAATATATATATATACACTTTTTTTAAAATTGATAATAATACAAAAAAAGTATTATTGTCAGGAAATACTGCCTTTTTGCTAATTAGGGCAAAAAAGTGCTCAGATTTAGATTAGGAAAAATAAACCTAAAGCACAAAGGGACACACCATTTACATTTTTTTTTTTGGTCTTTTGACTTGAAATAAAGTAAGGTAACCTATTAAGGCCCATTCACACCAAGAACAATAACTATAATGATAACTATATTAGCCTCCACAACAACGCACTATACTGTTATGTTTATTATAAGCACATACTGCTCTTTAAAATCTGGCTGTCAATGTTTTTATCGTTCATTAGCTGGGGGAAAAAAATGTTCTGAAAATGATTCAAACTATATTGTTATCATTATAGGTGTGGTGTGGAATTCTCTATTTTCGTAGAATTAGAATGATTATTAAAACTTTATAGTTTTTTTCCTTGGTGTGAACACCTTTTAACCAAGTCATTACATGTAAAGGGCATAAATATCAGGGTGTCTGCTTCCCACCACACCCGTAGACACAGACAGAGCACTTTATGAACAACCCATTTCACCACAGGGCAGTTCAATCCATCAGGACAATTAATAAGATTAATATCTAAGAGGTTTATATTGCCTTTTCATTATTGAGCCATAATTCATAAAGTACAACAGCTTTAGAGCATTGACATTGGTGTGGACGGAAACAATTTTCAGGCAAGACCAAACTGATCAGTCACAATTTACTGGCTAGATGAAAAGAGCAGACTGGTTGAAATGGGAATAGTATCTTGGCAACAAAAAAAATTATAGAAAACATTTAACAACAACAACAAAAAAAAGTATAGGGAGGTAACTCACCCTCTGAATGCAGATTGGTGAATATTTTAAAAATCCTATTTGAATACAGTGTTTACATATGACAAATATTAGCGACTGATGATAAGCTCTGGCAGTCCGAAGCATTGCACACTTCCATAAGGAAATAATAGCACATGCAGGGAAGGTCTTCTTGTGTGTTTCTGACCAGCAGCTTGAGTAGTCATACATGTTTGATCAGGTCCTGTCTATGGAACCTGTTTTTTTAGATTAAACTCTTTCGGTCTACTGCTAAGGAAACCTCTTTTTGCTAACTCCACAACGTGACTACACGGAAATCATTGACTTCCTTCCAGCCAGGGTTATTATATAAAACCACTAACACACATAAAAAAAATTAAGAACAAAGCAAACTATAAATCTAGCCCATGAAAATGGTTGTTAAATTGCGATGATTATCAGTAACCTCACATAACGCACTGCCCTGTCCTATACATTCTTCTACCCTAAGCAATAAATAACTAATTCCAAGTAATAAGCAGGCAACTTAAACAGGTTTGGACATGGTGAATTCACAGGTCCACTATCTATAATCTGACTATCCTGGCACCTGCTTCACCCTACTGATGAGTTTGCTGGTCTTAGAATCAGATTAATATATTTCAAGATGATGTCTAACAGCAGCCCAGGTTTTTGAAGCAAAGTGGCCATTTCACTGAGGCGCATGCTTAATTATTTAAGCATTAAAATAATTTTTGTAATAATTAGCATACATGAAGTCCAATACTGCACAATTACTGGTGTATGGTTTACTATTCAAATAGACTAGCAGCACCTGTATGACACCTATTACAGTAATGGAATTTCATGACTTAATGAAACTATGCTACAGCTCAGCATCACATTAATAATTCTATAGTTTGTGACCCACAGGAAATAAGTTACACATTACTGATGCATTCAGTTTGGGATGATTTATTAAAACTAACCGAAGAGGTTATTTAAACCATGTTTAAATGAAGCAAAACTGTACCTGGAAAAATAAACATCAAGAAACATGTGCAATGACTGCCTACATGATGGAAACTATCAGTGTTGAAAGGCAGTATAATGATGTAGATATAATTTGCAAAAATATACATGAACGTATATTTTTCACATTATTATACAAATGTTTTGGTGATACGATAACAAAATATAGAATTTTCCCGGATTGTTTTAAATCTATTATGCTAGTGTAAATAAATAATAATATAGAAGAGTACATTTAACATCGCGCGCATTTCTACACGAGGATGAATGCAATGATAAACATGGGATTTCCGCTTTACAGTTAAATAGGCTCTCAACACTTGACAGAAAACATAATTCAGATCTTTAACTTAACGAATACTCCCTAAGAATGACATATTATAGGAATAAAGGTTAAAAAGGTAGTTACCCTCTCTTGAGAAGATGAACTGAAAATCCAGAGACGATGTGCGGTGTGTAATCTAATCTAGACGAATGAGTGGATCTGTGACTGGGTTGGCAGGACGTGAATACTAAACTAAGGCGGAAATTCAAGCCTTTTAAGGAAAATTTCCACCCAGGCAGGGTCGGTTATTTTCTGACGTCAATAACAAAGCCAATCGTAGTAGGACGTGTTGCCATCGACGACAAGCATTGTTTTTCCAGTATTTTGAAAGTCCTGCTCTGCTTCTTGCTCCATTTATTTGTAATACCGCAATATCACATAACTAAGGCAATGTGTTAGTGGAAAATGTAAAATATGAATCTTCTCCCATGCCTCAATCAAACAATAAACCATATTTTAATATTTCAAATAATTTCATAATATATTAGGGAAAGTATAGAGACTTAAGCAACACAATATTTAATTGGGTTACATTTTATTAACAGTCATTTTTAGAAGCACATAAACATGCATAGAACTGCATAGAAATTCCACTGGTAAAAGTTACAACTTTAACACTTTTCTTCTTTTCTTCTAAGTGTGGGAGAGAGAAAAGAGAATCAGGCAGAGGTATACAATATTGCTTATTTTAATATCAGCATAATACAATGATTTGATAAGTAACTGTAAAAAGAACAAAATGCCAGGAATAAATTGTGAAGAGAGACAGAATACCTACTACTCTACTTCTTCATTTCCTTTACACACATCTCAAGTTTTTCGTGCAATGGTCCCCAGTTTTTACACTCTATAAAAGACAGGTATGCAAAACATTATCTCACAATAAATAGAGGGTAAAGTTATTGGAGAAAAAATATGAAACTTATGAAAAAATAATGATACAGACACCTGAACGCAAACCCATTAGTTCTTGGAGGACCCTCTCAAGTTTGTCTTGATGGTGCAAACAATTAACACAGCCTGGAAGGGGGGTTAAAAAGATTAGGTAGGTTTGAAAATATTAGACACTATTTGTGAATTAGAAAACTTACTACATGAGCTCTAAGATAATAACCACCACCAAAATTCACCTGATTCATGTGCTCCGTCAGCTGAATGCACAGCATCACTCTCTACTGTAGAAAGAGCAACGTGTGCTATGGGTACAAACAAAGATGAAATGCATTAGAATGGAGATTAACAACAAAAAAGTGTTAGAATATTTCACAAACATTTACTACACAGTTTTTTTCTATTCAAGATTTTTTTTTAACAACATAGGATGGTAACAAATTATACCAACCAATATCTTTTTGTCTTAACAGTGTTTGCTCACCATTCACACTTGCTCATCCATATTTAAGTGAACACTATCGTTGAAAGGTTGGGAATGACAAAGACATTTTGTTTTTGAAAGCGTTTAATATTAGCATGTAATTGATCAATCAAAACATGTCTAATGCTGCAAATTATTATAAAAAAAAAAAAGGTTTTATCTTTACCAGCGATGAAAAAAGCCGTTTTCAACAGCCATTACCCCAGTCTACTAAGAAAACACTGTCACCTACTCCTGTGCTAATTTGGTACAAGAGGACACTTTCTTCGTATACAAGCACAGTTGAAAGTGGCTCTTAATTGGTTCTTTGGAGAAAGCAAACTTTACCAAACCAGGACAGAGAGAAGTGGACAACAGAGGACCTCAAAGGGTCTAGTTTTAGAAACAGACTCCTCTGAGGACCTCATTTTGCAGCTTCATTAACCGGCAAATGAATCCATGTTTGAGTTGGTCAAAACAGCTTGATCCTAACATCAATAAGAAGTGTCTAGTGTGATCCTTTAATGAAAAGTTTGAAGAACACAGAACTTATTTAAAACAGAAATAGTCATTTGCAACATTTTATAAAATATATATAGATTTTCTATTTTACATTCATAATTAATGCAGTGCATCACGGTGCCATGGATGCCAATGTACCATCCTATAATTGAGTTTGACTTTGAACAGACCTATAAATCTCCATTTCAAAAAGAATGAAAACACTCAAAGGGGAGGCATGCACACACTACTCATTCACATGCATGAAATTAAAACGGTTTCAACAACCAGCTCCCAAATGCACCAATCTATTCAGTAAGGCTATTACTGCGCACTTCACAAGTATATAAATCCGTCTGGATTACATCTGGTCAAGCAGGGAAAATATCTTGCAAATAAGACAATTTATAATGACTCAATTTTCTTGCCCAGATTCCTGGCGGCGTCAGGAAAGAATATTTTGCAGTGATACATCAGGAGCTGTCCTGTTGAGATTTGTCAGTGTGGCTTAGCAAAGGGTGGATATTTTCCACATTTTAGACACTGTAATGTTCTTGAATATTTCTTTGATACACCCAATGCTTTTTTGTTCATAATGGACCAGATTTACTAAACAGGGCAAATTAGCGTGACCGCAATCCCATAAAACCGCCGATGGGAATGAAAAGTTCTGCGCGTGACCTACTGAAGACGTTTGTTTTAGACATGCTTTTTTTGGGCGCAACTGGTAAATACTAGTAAATTGACTAGCGTAAACCTTAGTAAATCACCTTGTGTGAATCATTTAAATACTGTCCTCCCATAGATTTTGCATCTGAAAGGTGCATATATGCAACAAGGTCAGCCGCAAAAATAACCCTGTCCACGCATTTTCAGCGCTAATTTTTCACTGACAGTAATTCTTAAAAGCAAGAGGGTTTGCACTGGTGTAAGCTGTTAGTAAATCTGGCCCAATATCTTAATGTCTGTTAATTTTTAAAAATCACAAAATATTGTCAGTAGCTAATATGTTTCCATCCAAAGTTGTTATTTAACAATTTAGTCCAGTTATCCGATCACATCCGCTGCTGATGCAAAGTCACGAGGTTTTTTTGTTGCATATCAAGGGATTTATTCAGTAAATACCATACATTTCAATCATAGTTTATGCGCATGTCTTAATATCGAATAAGAAATTTATCCGCCTCAATTGAGCACATGTTTTTTATGTGGAATTTAATAATTTATGCACATCCTGGCGTTTCCATCCAGTGTTTTTTTTATGCAATGTCCCAAATGCGCATAAAAAAGGTGGATGGAAACATAGCTAGTTACAATAATACTACTTTGACTGGCATTGTACAAAGCTATTTCAACAATTGACCACAGTCTCCGCCAACCACCACAAGTGAAGATACATCAGAGACTCATAATTACATTGGTTTTCCTTGTGAAAAAATAAGGACAAATGATCGCACCAATTCTTTTTCTCTTTGCCGAAGGCAAACCATCATTGTTCAAGTGCATTTGGCCCACACTGGGAAGCAGTGAATTCTTCGTCCTCATACCTTTCGTAGATAGAATTAGAGGAAACATGATTGGAATGACAAAGCATTATATAAAACCAGAGTCCTTCATTTCCATAATAATTTAGTCTAGGTATTTACCATGTATCCATGTTGCATAAAAGCATAAAATCAGCAACAAAATCTTAAAATCTAAAGATAAACAAAGGAAAAACAATAATAGTACCTTGTATTCCTGTTGTTTTTGGTTTATTATTACTGGGCTGAGTCAGAATGGTTTCAACAGAGGATTGTGAAGTCTGAGGTGTCTTAAGAGCCAGTCTTTTACGGGTTGGGGGCTGAAGTCCTGATGGTTTGTTTTGCGGTATACCAGAGCTTGAAGGCTTTGCAACTGCAACCACATTACAGCTTACAGAAAGCACAATTACTATATAATACAACATAGTAATACAAAAGTAGTTATGTACACTATCTTTCAATTTGTTTAGTTTTTGAAAAGTCACAGAGACTGCATTTATTTGGCCAAAAATACTGTAAAAACAGTAATATTGAGAAATTATAATTTCACTTTTCTATTTTAATATATTTTAAAATTTAATTTATCCCTGTGATGCAGTGTCACATGATCTTTCAGAATTCAATTCAGTACAATATGCTCAAGAATGGTGCTTAGCTGAGAATTTATCATCAATGTTTATCAAACAGTTGAGCTGCTTTTGATGGGAACTTAATATATTAAGGATTCTTTGAAGAATAGAAAGTTCAAAAAGAAATTGGAATCTTTTGTAACATTATAAATCTATTTAATGTCACTTTTAATTAAATGCAACCTTGCTGAATAAAAGTAGGACTATTTTAAATAAAAACAAAAACCTTGAACAGTAATATAATTGTGCATGTATAAAATGTGTAAAAAAAAAAAAAAAAAAAAAAAAAAAATGTGTATAAGCCACTCACCAGCAGTGAAGTTAAATCCAGTGGCAGAAGAAACCATAGAGGCCTGTTTACCAAAAAATAAATAAATACAATTTGAACATTTTTATGCATTAACATTTTAAGTGACTGATTCATAGCGGCATAAAGCATAGTTTCCTACCTTAACAGTGCTAGCTGACGCTGTGTTTTTGACAGGTGCGATGTTCTTCCCCTTGTTCATATGTACTGACTTCCTGTTGCCAAGTAGGGTGGTGGATGTTGTGTCGCGATATTGCGGAACCTGTGGCCCTTGGATGGTCTTTTTTTTGTCCGCCACCGAGGAGTGCATGGACGACTGTGGCCTTGGAGGAAGACTGGATTTGGGATAACTGAGCTTAGAGGAAAGTTGAGGAAGCTGTCTTTTAATTGGACGTTTTGTGGGAGGCTTGTTCTCATTTGCTGGTTCTGATGTACTGTGACTTGAAATGCAGTTCGATGAGACCTTCTGACTTGAGCTCTCAGTCGCCTGCACAGCACCAGTTCCATTGTGATTACTCACACCAACAAGCTCATCATTCGATTGGGCCTCAATACTGTTGATCACAGACAGTCTTTTTCTAATAGGTGTGGGCTTCGCATCTCTCAGTATCTCAAATCTGGGTTCTCTGCCAAAAACAATAGGTGTGGATGTAACCATGAAGCTTGTTTTCATGTCCAAAGTATCATCCAAACAAAAAACAATGTTTCTGCTGATGTTTCCCATATCAGAGGAGGGAACGGACTCACTTTCAGCTAATCCAGGTCTCTCTATTTTTTTGTGATGCTCCTCTGCTTTGAGCTCAGGAGCCTCTACAGAGCAAACAAAAGCTAAGGTGCTTATCTCAACGTTTGTTTCGCTGCTGTTAGAGACTGGTTTAGTGATTACCACCGAGTTAGAAGCACCACTGACCTGGTCTAATTCTAAAGTTAATTCTGTGCTTGAAGGCTTCATTTCTAGAGTGGTGTCCTTCAAAACTGGAACTTCTGGCACATGAAGATCAGTGGTTGTATTATGTTCAGTAAACATCGTCTTAGCTGGTTTTAAAATATCTGAGCTCGATTGTTCAATTTCGCTAGAAGGTAGATGAGGTGCACTGGCTATTTGCTCCACAATATCAACCATTACAATGTCTTTTAAATTAGCTTCCTCTGTGTTTTTTATTTTATCATCCACAGTAGAGTTAAGATTACCACTTGGTTTTTCTTGTGGCTGAATGTCTATGGTAACCTCAAGCTTTTCATTGAGCTGTTCTGTTGTAGTGTTTAAGGGTGCACTATTCACAGGTGAATTGGTTTTAGAATGTGCACTGTCTAGATTAGGAATATCCACGGTTGCATTAACCCTAGTGTCAGGACTCTCTTTAGGGTCATGTGACTGGACCAGGTCAACAGTGGTATTTCCTGACTCAGTCTTAACATTGTCAGCAATATCCACTGTTGAATTAAGTCTAGTGTCGGACCTCTCCTTTGACTCTTGACACTCAAAAGTGCTGTTCTTCTTCCTGGTGTTGTGTAGATCAACAGTCACATTAACACCAGTGTCAAACCGTTCTTTCGAGTCTTGAGTCACATCAAAAGTGCTGTTCTTCAACTCTGCACTCATGAAATCTGATTTCTCTAAAGATGTAGTGGATACCGTGGGTTCATTGCAGTGCCCATCTGCTTTATCTGCTGTTGCACTAACATCTTTCTCATTATGTATTGATCTAGTAGAGATCCTTCCATCTGCCGACTGACAGTGCGCACCAAGAGAGCAACTAAGACCGGAATCGATGGCAGCCTCTTTTCTTGGTGCTAAAACTCCATCGTCCTTATTTTTTGTTTGATTTTCTGATGGTGTGCAACCAGGGGAATTCAACACAGTTCCGGCTTCATTTGAAAGAAACGACGGGCCGAAAGTGTCATCAAGAAATCCAGACACTTGGGGAAAAGGTTCATCAGCAATTGAATAGAAACTAGAACACACATCTGGCAATTTGATAGCATGGTAAGAAGAAATGGGTTTCTGAAGAGATGATCTACCCAATAGGTTGCCACTGGCCTGGGCAAGCTTTTGCCTTAGAAAGCTCTCCATTTCATAGCAGAAAGGTCTCTGAGAAAAAAAAAAGAAAAAAAAAAAGTCTGGGAATTCTTTTGTGGCTTCCTGAAACCTACTTACTGACAATCACACATCTCACAGAGAGGACAGCACATGAGGAAAAAAATATATATATATACACAATACAAAAGATAGCACTAGTTTAAATTCCTTAAATAGCCTACTTATCTAAAATTAAACACTAAACTACCGCATTGAAGAAACCCAATTGTGTTATTTAAACATCTGATAATAGTTCAGTAAGTATAATATTACGTTACACAACAGACTAAAAATACTAGAATGAACTCAGCTTGTAGCTAACTGACAACTGCAACGAATGTTTTGCTATGGTAACAATAACACTCGACACGGAAAATTAGTAACGAGCCTACTTTCGATAAGGAACAAACAAACTCAAAACTATTACTAAACAAATAACCAGATCATATCATAATCATAAGGAAGTATTATCATCTTCTTACCAGGTCTCTTAACAGACTGCCTCTCTCTGGGTGTTAGATACTTCCGTGTCTGACGATTTGAAAACGGCGACCTTTTATTCATTGGACAAGACGCTCAGATCTTGACCAATCAGAGCGACGATCTGTGAGCCGTTTAGAAACATCACAGCGCCCCCCAGTGCTAGAAGAACAAAGACCTCAGTTCTTTCTTAGTGATATAAATTTGCATATTTAACAACTAGATATATATGCGCACAGACCTATTTGTTGTTTCATGGTGCTCTAAAAACAATTGCCAACACACGATCTAAAAGGGTAAGAAAAAAAAATGTATTACACTTTCTTTTGAAACTGAGATGCTTGTCAACCTAGGATTATATTAAGTGAAATATGTATTTATAACAAATGGCCGTCACAAACCGATTGATTGCATACATTAGGCCTATAGGTTGTAAAAAAAAGAAATAGGCCTACTTAGCAGTTTTAACATCATAGAAATGGTTTACTATTTTCTTGTTAACTTTCATTTCTGTAAAATCTGTTAAAGAGTCAAATTCCATATTACATTAAATTTCATATTTCATTTAAAATTCCATATTAAATGTGAAATTCCATATTACATTTAAATGATATTACATTTAAATTATGCATAGGCTACTTTTATTGACATACTGTATATGTGCTTACATCAGTAAGAATTAAATGTGACATCTTCATTATTATTATTTTTATTTTTGAACATGTCTAGAAAAACATTAAATGTCGGACATCAAAAAGGTAGGGGGAGACCCGGGCGTGGTTGTAACACATTTTGTTACAGCATCTGTAACTCAATTAATTTTTTAACTATATTTCTCAAACTTTTATAAAGTACAGGTCCTTCTCAAAAAATTTGCATATTGTGATAAAGTTCATTATTTTCCATAATGTAATGATAAAAATTAAACTTTCATGTATTTTAGATTCAGTGCACACCAACTGAAATATTTCAGGTCTTTTATTGTTTTAATACTGATGATTTTGGCATACAGCTCATGAAAACCCAAAATTCCTGTCTCAAAAAAATAGCATATTTCATCCGACCAATAAAATAAGTATTTTTAATACAAAAAAAAAAAGTCAACCTTCAAATAATTATGTTCAGTTATGCACTCAATAGTCAATCCTTGGTCAGGAATCCTTTTGCAGAAATGACTGCTTCAATGCGGCGTGGCATGGAGGCAATCAGCTTGTGGCACTGCTGAGGTGTTATGGAGGCCCAAGATGCTTCGATAGCGGCCTTAAGCTCATCCAGAGTGTTGGGTCTTGCGTCTCTCAACTTTCTCTTCACAATATCCCACATATTCTCTATGGGGTTCAGGTCAGGAGAGTTGGCAGGCCAATTGAGAACAGTAATACCATGGTCAGTAAACCATTTACCAGTGGTTTTGGCACTGTGAGCAGGTGCCAGGTCGTGCTGAAAAATGAAATCTTCATCTCCATAAAGCTTTTCAGCAGATGGAAGCATGAAGTGCTCCAAAATCTCCTGATAGCTAGCTGCATTGACCCTGCCCTTGATAAAACACAGTGGACCAACACCAGCAGCTGACATGGCACCCCAGACCATCACTGACTGTGGGTACTTGACACTGGACTTCAGGCATTTTGGCATTTCCTTCTCTTCCTCCAGACTCTGGCACCTTGATTTCCGAATGACATGCAAAATTTGAGCAACAGTCCAGTGCTGCTTCTCTGTAGCCCAGGTCAGGCGCTTCTGCCACTGTTTCTGGTTCAAAAGCAGTGTTGTGCTAGTTACTAAGAAATAGTAACTAGTTACAGTTACTAGTTACTTCGTTCAAAAAGTAACTCAATTATTTTGTTGATTACTTACACCAAAAAGTAATATGTTACTGTTAAAAGTAACTTTTTAGTTACTTTTTTAAAGAAAGTTCTTAAATGTTCCCATCAATGCCCTTTTATGCGTTATGGTCTATACAAAACTGACTTAAACAGAAAGTAATTTTTAAACACTATTTTATTTAAGTCAGACCAGCACAAACTGAATATATCAAGGATTTCTGAAATAAATAACAAAACAAGCATTTTTAAAGCTAGTGACTTGTTTGCTTTCTCAACATTGATATGTTCATGCAGCCGACAGTAGCCTATACGTTTTTACCACTGTGGTTTTTACTGCATGAATTAATATTTGAGCAATACAATTGTACCTTGATCATTCTTGTTAGTTCATAGTGGGCCTACATTAACTAAGGAGACACAAATACATCTAACAATGAATGATACTTCTTCAACATTTATTAACCATATTTAATGCTAAAATTGTAATCGTATTGTAAAGTGTTACCATTTATATGATTCAAGCTTAAAGAAGATGGCCATCTGCAAAGGCCAGAGCATTAAAATTACATAAATGTAGACCTATTACATGTAGGCCGTCTTTCACTTTTTTTGCTTAAATTTTAGAACACTTGATTAGACTTGATGTCGGCTGCATGAACATATCAATGTAAGCAATCAATCACGTCACTAGTTTTAAAAATACAACTTCGCCGGCTAATGAATGCATAAAAGTGAACAGCTGGACATAAACTAATGCAAATAGATGGTAACAATTGCGACATAAAAATTGTGGGTCAGGTCCGCGTGTGTTTTTGTCACATTGCTTTAATCGCTTGAGGTAAGTTAGCCGTTACTAATGTTATTCCTCTCAGACTCGACGGCAAGCTTCTGTTCTTTCTCTGCTGATGCAGCATCTAGTCAAAAAATGAATTACTTTATAATGATATGGCAATGTGTACTGTACTTAAAGTCCCCATGAATTCAAAATTGACCATACTTACTTTGTTTGCCTAAATTGATCGTTTTGTGGTGAACAATTCATCCATGCAAGTCAATCCACACAAAAAATTTTTTTGGCTTCGTAATCTTTAATCAAAATCTGAAATTTCCCCTCCCCTCTGCGTTGGAGGACCTTGCCTGATGACGTAGGTTTCACGGTTTGGGCGTCTTCTTAACATCCATAATCACGCCCCTCCAACTGACAATAGACAGGCTGAATGAAAACACCTACTTTTCTAGATCCAATCAGGTGCTAGTTGGGAAAAAAGCCACGCCCACCATTTTGCCTCATTTAGTATTCCGTTTCTCTCGGAAATACGTCACAACACTGGAGAAAAGTCCTTTTCAACTTCCGGTTCACGGGGACTTTAAGTGTTCTGTATTCATACCGTTTCGCTGTCTGTATTTTAAATGCGCATCAAGTGCTCAGCGCTCTCCGTGCAGCTTGTAATCTCCGTGCTCGCGCTGCCTCACGTGTACGTAAACAACTCAGCCAGTGAGTTTGTTATGTGTCCTCAGGTGTCCTCTCGCTCTGTATAATGCTAGCAGTCTCTTCAGTGCTCTCTACTGTGTAATGACAGCGCACACTTCTCAGCCGCTCCAGCAACTGAATTTTAAAAAGTAACAGTAACGGACAACGCGCCATATGGTAACGGTAACGGAGTTAATTTATTTAAAAAGTAATGCGTTACAGTATTAGTTACTGTCAAAAGTAACTAAGTTACAGTAACGCGTTACTGCCCAACACTGTTCAAAAGTGGCTTGACCTGGGGAATGCGGCACCTGTAGCCCATTTCCTGCACACGCCTGTGCACGGTGGCTCTGGATGTTTCTACTCCAGACTCAGTCCACTGCTTCCGCTGGTCCCACAAGGTCTGGAATCGGTCCTTCTCCACAATCTTCCTCAGGGTCCGGTCACCTCTTCTCGTTGTGCAACGTTTTTTGCCACACTTTTTACTTCCCACAGACTTCCCACTGAGGTGCCTTGATACAGCACTCTGGGAACAGCCTATTTGTTCAGAAATTTCTTTCTGTCTCTTGCTTGAGGGTGTCAATGATGGCCTTCTGGACAGCAGTCAGGTCGGCAGTCTTACCCATGATTGCGGTTTTGAGTAATGAAACAGGCTGGGAGTTTTTAAAAGCCTCAGGAATCTTTTGCAGGTATTTAGAGTTAATTAGTTGATTCAGATGATTAGGTTAATAGCTTGTTTAGAGACCCTTTTCATGATATGCTAATTTTTTGAGACAGGAATTTTGGGTTTTCATGAGCTGTATGCCAAAATCATCAGTATTAAAACAATAAAAGACCTGAAATATTTCAGTTGGTGTGCAATGAATCTAAAATATATGAAAGTTTAATTTTTATCATTACATTATGGAAAATAATTAACTTTATCACAATATGCTAATTTTTTGACAAGGACCTGTATACACTCACCGGCCACTTTATTAGGTACACCTGTCCAACTGCTCGTGAACACTTAATTTCTAAGCAGCCAATCACATGGCGGCAACTCAGTGCATGTAGGCATGTAGACATGGTCAAGACAATCTCCTGCAGTTCAAACCGAGCATCAGTATGGGGAAGAAAGGTGATTTGAGTGACTTTGAACGTGGCATGATTGTTGGTGCCAGAAGGGCTGGTCTGAGTATTTCAGAAACTGCTAATCTACTGGGATTTTCACGCACAACCATCTCTAGGGTTTACA